TTAAATGATTCAAACTATATATGTATTTTATATCTACAAAATATGTTAGGTAGAACATGGGTAGATGAAATAGTGGCAACTATGAGACGTAGTGCCTATTGTATAAACCTTGGTGACTATGGAGTTAGCGCCTATTGTATAAACCTTGGTGACTATGGAGTTAGCACCTATTGTATAAATTTTGGTGACTATGGAGTTAGCGCCTATTGTATAAAACTTGGTGACTATCGAGTTAGCACCTATTGTATAAACCTTGGTGACTATGGAGTTAGCGCCTATTGTATAAACCTTGGTGACTATGGAGTTAGCGCCTATTTGATAAACCTTGGTGACGATGTGACTTCGTGCTTGTTGACTAAACCTTGGTGACTATGGAGTTAGCGCCTGATAACTATGGATTTAGTACCTGATAGATAAACTTTGGCAACAATGGACTTCGTGCCGATTCCTTAGGTAAATCCTTAGGAACGAATGGATAGAGGATAGTTGATTCTTAGTGTAAAACTTTAAGAAATAAAGAAGATAATGGGGATGGGTATTTGAGTTGATTATTTGATAATTGAATATAATAACTGTATTATTGTGGGTTGAAAACCCTATATGCTCACCAGGCTCCCGACCCTGACCCACTCAGTTTTCTTTGCATTACAGGTAATGGCACAAGGGTATAAGTTGATGGACTTGACGAGAGATTTTGGATTATAGATCAGTAGTTATAAATAAATGTTGTAAGGTCTATTTTATACTGTTTATGCTTTTGGTCTGTATCGGAACATGAGATCCCAAGGTTTTATTATTAAATAAAATACGTTCTCTTTGATAAATGTTTTGATAAGCTATTGTCATATCTTGTTTTGGGAACAAATTTCACAACCGTTTTCTTTAAACGATTACTCTTATTTTAAAAAAAGCATAAACAAATCGGTCTTTTCTGGTCGTGAAATTGGGGATGTCACAGTTGGTATCAGAGGATTAGTTTAAGCGAACTAGGAATTTGTAGGATTTCTAAACTTAAACTTAGAATGCTAAGCGATGATTGTGAGATGAGTGTCTACCATATTCTAGGCACGAGCACTAGTATATTTTAGGAAAGATGCCTAAAATGCTTTTATGTGCTAAATGCTATATGTTTGCCTTGTATGCTATTATTTGTTTGGATCTATAGTCTGTTGCCCACCGGATCTGGAAATTTTATGTGCTCCGGGTTCTAAACATTTAATTGCGATATTAGAACTATCATGTAATTTTTCGGAGTAATATGGAGGATTACACATCTAAACCTTCCTCTATCTATATTCTCGTGTCGATACACCGAACGTATGCTTTGGTGTATAGAACGTTATGGTGAAGACTCATAGAGAATTGAGTAAATGGAGGAAATGAAAGGCTAATGATAGTGAATGACACCTATCAGAAGATATTGTAAGAGTGGTATCTTGCCATTAGAATATGTCTGATAAAATAACGGAACGTTTAGAGGAGTACAGTACGTCTAAAGTACACCTTCGATTAGCAGGATGCTGAAACAGTTGGTGTAATTCTTGAAGTTGTCCCATCGTCTAGAATTTCCATCATCAGCTGAGTTGAAGTAGAATTGATGAGTGAAGATGCGCATGGAGGAAGTCCTAGTAGAGTCTAGAAAATTTTGTATGATTAATTGGACAGATTATTATGTGTTAAATTGTTTTGTGATATTAGGAATTGGGGACTGCGAGACAATACTTGGGACGAGTATGAGTAGGTGTGAATAGTGGTAGAGATGCATACTACTGGAAGCACATGACTCACGCTTGGATCATGGGAAGTCACAAGGTTACAAAGGAGCTAGTAATTGATTCCGTTTTATTCAAGTATATCATTACCATTGTTTCGGTAATCACTAGTAAGATGGTTGTTATTCCGACCCTAGTGGTCATATTAATTGAGTCCGACTACGATGAGAGGTCATCAGGACACGACCCATCGGTATGTTACAACAGATAAAGGAAAGTATTTATCCTAAGAAGAATAAGGAGTCCACAATAAGGACTTATTTGGTTACTCGGAAGTTATGATTGAAAGTACATCATAGTACGAAAAGTAGATGCAAGATTTAGGCCTCGTCTGTAGTCAAGAAAGCCATAGAGTTAAATACTCTTTCAAGGAAACATAGAAGTTTTGGTTATTACCTAGGATGAAGAAATAACGTGTGGAATCATTATGCAAGCCCTATTTCGTTGATGATTCCGGGACGTAATCATCCTAAGGCGGAGATAATTGTAACGCTCGTAGATCAGGGCGAGTCAATTTAAAGACGATAAGCATCAAAAATGACTTTTTTATGAAAGATTATTTAGAATGAGTAATCTTAACGAAGTTATAGTATATGTTACAAGGATTATGTACATATAAAGAACGCCAAAATCCGAGTTATAACAAAGAAGTTATGACCTGTCGAAGTTTCGCGACAAAACCGGCACGACACAACTCGACGTAAAAAGTGAATTTACGTTAGACCGATATTTAGCCTTAGCGATCTAAATGATAATTGTAGAATACGTTAAACCTTGAGCGTGCATATAAAGAACATCCAAATCTGACTTCGTATGAGGAAGTTATGATTTTTCTAAGTTTCGACTTAGCGGTATGCAACCCGAATACTCGATTTGAGATCGAGCGGGTTTTAGCCGAAACAATCTAAATGAGAATCGAAGATCTCGTTAATAATAGTGAAATTTAGCCAACAGATTCTAAATGAATGTTGTAAATATTGTTTTTACCTACGCTTCGATATAAAGAACGTCGAAAACGGAGTTCGTATGTGAAAGTTATGAATTTCTAAAGTTCGGGCGTGAACCCCAAAGTTGTTTCAGAGACCATGACGTGGAAATAGTGGCCACGATGTGGCATGACTTCTGACGCATTCTGGAGCCTGACATAGCAAGTGGACGATGACACATGCAGTCGACGTGGAAAAAGGTGCCACGACGTGGCAAGGGCAAAATTTTCCCTATAAATAGATTTGAAGGGCCAGCCGACTTTGGTTGCTCATTCTCTCATCTCTATCCTGTATTGCATCGATTTACGTGCAAACAAGTACCCCCGCAGTCTCGGTATCATCCCGAGACCCGAAGAGAGTCCCGAAGCCTGAAGATCCAGAGAAGTGAAATTCCCGAGACGAAGCTTTTCCCGCGAGGAGCCAAGTTTTTGTGAAGATCTTCCGGATCTACCGAAGAATACTACTTTTACAAGCCGTAGTGCTGTCCGATCATCTTCTGATCAATTGAGTGTATAGTCCCTTTCATAAACACGATATTAATACAAGTATTGTTTGAATGTATTAAGTATATGTTTGGTGTGAGTGTGTGGTTACTTTCTTCTAGCACATAAATATAAAGTATTAGCTATGAAATACGTGCTATGTGTTATATATTATTTGTCTATTTGAGATGGGCTTGGAGTTGATGTTTTTATACGAGTGTTAAATGATTCAAACTATATATGTATTTTATATCTACAAAATATGTTAGGTAGAACATGGGTAGATGAAATAGTGGCAACTATGAGACGTAGTGCCTATTGTATAAACCTTGGTGAATATGGAGTTAGCGCCTATTGTATAAACCTTGGTGACTATGGAGTTAGCGCCTATTTGATAAACCTTGGTGACGATGTGACTTCGTGCCTGTTGACTAAACCTTGGTGACTATGGAGTTAGCGCCTGATAACTATGGATTTAGTACCTGATAGATAAACTTTGGCAGCAATGGACTTCGTGCCGATTCCTTAGGTAAATCCTTAGGAACGAATGGATAGAGGATAGTTGATTCTTAGTGTAAAACTTTAAGAAATAAAGAAGATAATGGGGATGGGTATTTGAGTTGATTATTTGATAATTGAATATAATAACTGTATTATTGTGGGTTGAAAACCCTATATGCTCATCAGGCTCCCGACCCTGACCCACTCAGTTTTCTTTGCATTACAGGTAATGGCACAAGGGTATAAGTTGATGGACTTGACGAGAGATTTTGGATTATAGATCAGTAGTTATAAATAAATGTTGTAAGGTCTATTTTATACTGTTTATGCTTTTGGTCTGTATCGGAACATGAGATCCCAAGGTTTTATTATTAAATAAAATACGTTCTCTTTGATAAATGTTTTGATAAGTTATTATCATATCTTGTTTTGGGAACAAATTTCACAACCGTTTTCTTTAAACGATTACTCTTATTTTAAAAAAAGCATAAACAAATCGGTCTTTTCTGGTCGTGAAATTGGGGATGTCATAATTGTAATGCCACGATTCTCTAGTATTACTTAAATAAGATTTATTGGGTTAAGCACTACTCGACGAGTTGGTTGACCTACTCATCGAGTAGCAGCTGGATGAGATCGCGTGTTAAGTGACCTACTCGACGAGTCGATATTGGGACTCGGCGAGTAGGAGCTGGCAGATGAAACCCTGAATCCCGGGGTTTGCACCTCTATTTAAAGGTGCCTTAGCTTCCTTTGTCCTCTTTGTAGTCTTTGGGAGCCCGTTAAAACCCTAATACGTGTGTGTGCCTTGGTGTGGTGTTTGAAGCTTGGAAAGAGAATCTTGGAGGAAGAAAGCTAAGAGTGCAAAGGAATTGAAGCAAGGAAGGCGTGGGAAGCAGGATTTACCTGAAATAGCATCCTTTGGAGGTATCAAAGTGCCAATCCTTACTTCCCTTTTTCCTTTTTGTTGAGTTTCTAGGGCTTTTATGGATTTTCAAGTTGGTATGATGAGCTATGGGCTAGATCTGAAGTTGTAACTTCAAATCTGGACCCTCCTTGGATTCTAGAAGCATAAAGTTTCAGTTTTGGTCATGATTAAGGTCCCTCTAGAGCATGAAGTTCCATTAAGAACTTAAAATAGGCATTTAGAGCCTTTATAGCCATGCATCCATGTAAATTTTGCAACTTTACGTGATAAGCATGCCCTACAAGCTTGGATCTGTGATTTGGAGCCGTTGCATGGCTCAAAACAAGTCTGTATGGAAAGTGGACTGAATCGACTCGACGAGTTGCAAGGTCGACTCGGCGAGTCACATGAAGATGGCCGTGAACTCGACGAGTTGGATGGACAACTCAGCGAGTCCGATGAAGATTGCCATAAACTCAATGAGTTGAAGAACAACTCGGCGAGTCGGATGAGTTTTCCCTAGAATATATATGCGTGTGTATCCATCGAGTTGCAAGGAGGGAACTCGACGGGTGGTCTTAAAGTTTGAACGAGAATCGAAGGAACTCGACGAGTCACCCCGATGACTCGGCGAGTTGGATTGTACTTCAAGGAACTCGACGAGTAGCAAAGGGTACTCGGCGAGTTGCGGTCAAGATGGACTATTGACCTTGATTGAGGGTTTTGACTTTGATCAGGGGTTGACTAGTGGGTTATGGAGTACCTTATAAGGTTAAGAACTTACGAGTATATTGTACTATGATAATAGGTGGTGGAGCCTGTGTTATGTGATCCGTGAGTTGGAGTTTACCTTCCGAGTTGACATCTGCAAGGTGAGTTATCCTCACTATATCGATAGGGTCAACGGCACCAAAGTCGGCCCTTTAGTTGTTATTGTTATGGTATGCTACATGTGGTTATGATATGTTATATCAGAATCAGGGTAGATAGTATGTTATGGTTGTATGATCTATAGGGATTGGTATGTTAGTGACCTGCTTGGTCAGTACTCTAGTTACAGGAGAATCCAATGATCGATGATCAGTGAGATAGATATGTTTGATGTTTGTATATGCCAATATATGATAGTATGTGCACATGGTTATTTGCTTGTGGTTGGGTTGAGGCGGTCATGCTTTGTGCTGAAGGCCAATATACTCTATGAGCGGTCCAGGGGGACTGTAGGCCCATATGGCGGAGCATTCAGGACGAAGGCTCAGATAGATTCAGACAGACTGTAGGCCTAGTAGGGCGGTCTAGTCAGGACGATCGCTCAGCATGCATGTTGATTGATTGATTATTCCTGATATGGTATTGTAAGTGTGGTTTTGGTATTTTGGGGGTAGCTCACTAAGCCCTCGGGCTTACAGTTTTCAGTTTATTTTTTCAGGTACTTCCAGAGATCATGGAAAGGTGAAGGCGTGACCGTACCACTCCTCATCCTTATGTTATGATTTTTGGGACACTCTGAAGGAAAATGATTTGAAAACATTTTGTAAACAATGCTATTTAGTTTTTATTTATGATTGAATAAGTTTAAATTTGGCGTAAAATTTATGGATGTTACAATTGATTGTTATTTAACTTATTATTATTTATTCATTTATGAATATTTTTGTTTTAATACAGATATCAGATGATTTATTTACGAACACAGACTTTAGAAAAAGGTTTTCGAAGCTTATTTGGGACATTAATTTGAAACCTGATGTTTTTGAGGTGAAGTGGGGTTTGCTTATGAAGGAATTCAATCTTGAAGACACAAGATGGTTTAAAGACATGTTTACAATACGTGATTCATGGATACCTGGATATTTTTGTGATATTCCAATGTGTGGTTTGATGAAGACTACATCGAGGTCAGAGAGTATGAATTCATTTTTTAATACATACTCAGAAAGCGGGAACTTACTTTTGAATTTCATGATGAATTACAACACTGCCATTCAAAAGCAAAGGAATACTCAACGAGAGCTTGATAAAGCATCAAAGGAAGCATAATATAAAATGCAAACACCTCGAGAAATAGAATTTCAAGCATCAAAGGTTTATACAAGTACATTATTTTTTGAGGTGCAAAAAGAAATATATAAATCATGTTTTTTTTTGTACATACTCATATGTTGGTATTGAAGATGGTTGGGAAGTTTACATTGTGTAGCACAACAACAGTAAAAGTGAATTTAAGGTAATTTGACTAGTTTCTTTTTTTATTTTTTTATTATTTTTTTTATGAAAAATGTAATAATATTCATATATGAATATCAATATTCATATATGAATATATGAATATCAATATTCATATATTCATATATGAATATTATATGAATATATGAGTCTTGATATGAGTATTCTTATATGAATGTAAATGTGTAAATTTTGTTTTTGTATCAGGTTGAAATAAAAGCTGAAGAGAAAGAAATAAATTGCAGTTGTGAACATTTTAAGTGTATAGGTGTTTTATGGAGACATGTTTTTACAATAATGATGAGATGTGGTGTTAAAGAAATTCCTGAAAGGTACATTTTGAAAAGATGGAGAAAGGATGCGATATTAAGAATTTATCGTTTTAGTTCTATTCAATCTGACTCAGGTGATTATGAGAATGTAAAGCTAATCAATGATTCATATTATAGTTTTGAATCATGTTTGGATATTGTAAGAGATGACAAAAAGCGATTGGCTTTGTTTGTTGAAAAACAACAAATGCGGTTTAAGGAATTTGAGAGTGATTATATTTCTCCAGGATTAAAAAGCAAGATTGATGGTGAAGTCGTATGCAAGCTTTTGGGTGTTACTATTCCTATTCCAGAAGAGATTCATATTCATGTTCCTGAAGTTCAAAGCAATAAAGGTTCTGGAATCAAGAAAAGAATTCCAAGTACAGGTGAAGTAGCATATGAAAATTTTAAAAAAGAACATATAATGTGTTTAGGATGTGGAAAACGAGTTCCACACAATTTACGTACTTGTCCAGAAAGCGTTGGAGTTGCTAAATCAGCAAAAGACAGTTAGGGATTTTTTAATTTTAATTTTTATGTTTTTGGTTTTATTCATTTATGAATATATATATGCAGATAAAAACAATAAACAATAATATTCATGTATGAATATACACATTTATATTGATATGGTAAATTTATATGTTGATATTTGTTTTTTAAATTACTATAAAATAAGTTATATTTATATTGTAAATTATTTATAAATAAATACAAAGATGTGAAATTTTTTATACTAATAAATAAGTAATATTCATATATGAACTTTTTTTATGTTAATATCTTAACTTTGTTATACTAACATATTACTTTTGAACTTATTCATAAATGAATATATCATATTCGTATTCATTTATGAATAAATAAAAATAAACTTTGAAAATATTTGAATATAAAAGAATGACAAAAATAAACAAACTTGTTTCTACTAATAAGTTAGTTATATTCATATCTGAAATTTGTTATATTCATATATGAACTTTGTTATACTGACATATTACTCCTAATTTAATCATAAATGAATATATCATATTCGTATTCATTTATGAATAAACATCAATAAACTTTGAAAATATTTAAATATAAAAAACTGATAGAAATAAGTGAAGTTGTTTCTATTACATAATCATTCAACACAAGATAATAATAGTTGTTCATAAGCATTTCACAAAATATTAAAACAAACATTTAACAAACCATCTAAACTTTGTTTCGCATAATCGTCTTACATAAACTTCAAATCCATTCATCTTCAACACAAACTGTTCCATAGCATCACACTTCATCACAAGCAATCATCAATATTCTTTTAACCTTTTTTGAATTGTTTGTATAGCCTTGTATGCATGATCAATACGCACTTTGAATTTAACTTTTTGATATTTTTCAGCAAGATCCAACACCTTAGCCTTCAACATGTTAATTTCAGAAGTTAGCATTATGTGTGTATACCTTTGCCTGAGCTTCTCTAAAGTAGTTTGTTGAATTGCACTTTCTTTATGAAGACCTGGTTTCCACTTTGAGAGTGGTTGTCCCATATAGGTCTCCATATGTCTCATTGCAAAGATTCTACAATCAACTTTGTTTTTAACTGTTCTACATGTCATTTCAAGTCGTTGGGGTTTGATACTTTCTTTTTAGATTTCATTTGCTCTTGGATGGTTTATTTCTTTAAAGTATCTCACAAACAATTTTTTCTGATCATTAAATAAAATAAAAGTTAGATATGTAATAAATTGTTTCTTTTATATTGTTTTGAATTGGGTACATACCAAAAGTTTCAATAGTACTCCGTATTTCCCTTCATAACCCCCCTCAACTGCACTGTTGTCTAGAATTTTAATTGATGGTTTCTTTAAGTTGAAGACAATCACAAAAATGTGAGCAATTTTAACAACTGGAAAGAATACCTGTTTTTATGTATATAATTGTAAGTATTTTGTTGGTAAAATATATATAAAAAAACAACTTTAATTAACATACCATGCCAATATCTTTTATGGTCAAGATTTTTTTGTACCCATTGGTACTGTCATGAAAGTTCTCCTTGAATTTTTCATACTTTATTTCATCGGTCTGTAACCAATATAATCATATGTGAATTTCAATTAAATATATATAATTATATTAAAGAATACATCATATTTTGTATAATCATATGTGAATTTCAGTTGTAAAAAAATATAATATTCATAAATGAATACATCATATTGGTGTATTCATTTATCAATAAGGAAGGAATTAAGGTTAGAACATAAACTTACAGAAACTCCAACTTTTAAGAAAAGTATGTATGGTGAATTTCCAAAATCCCTTTCCAGTTCTTGGTGGTTAAGTAAATCAGACCAAGTATCTAAAACTTCTCCAAAAATCTATGTGTTTGCTTATAGACTTTCCATAACTGCTATTTCTGTTATCTGAACATATTTTGTCTGGACAACCACATCTCTGCAAATATATAATCAAAATGTCATAGATTATTATCTATATAATATTCATATATGAATGTATATAAAATAAAGCCACTTACAATGTATTGCCTTGTAAGTTGAACAACCATTCACAGGCAATACTCTCCTGGTGTGTCAGTTTGGGTTTTGTGTCTGTTATTCTGCGTTTGAAAGGTGATTTGAAAGAATCAGCAAGCTTCTTCTCTCTTGGTTGATCCAAATCATGCTTTGATGGCCCTACTTCAGTAGGAATTGATACAAAGATTGGATTTGGATTAAGAACATTTTTCTTTGCTAATCTGATAACAACCTTCTGATGGTCGTCTTTGATTTGTTTCTTTACAAGTGGTTTTTTTGGTGAAGATTCATTAGATTTTTTACTTGATGTTTGATCTGAATCTTGACTGAGACCTAGACTAAAGCTTGGATGAGTATTTGCATGCCAGGAGATTTATCATATAAATAGTTGTAAGTTAATTATAATATTTGAGTTTATATTTTGAAATGTTTATCCAAATTGTTGCCTCCTTTCTTTCCTTTTGTCTTGTCAGCTTTTTCACCTTTCTTGTTTTCATTTTCTGACTTTTTCTTTCCTGAAATATAAAGAACTTTGATTAAGTAATTCATATGTGAATAAGTAATGTATTCATTTATGAATAAGTAATGCATATCATTATTTATGAATAAGAAATATTAAAAATTTATTTTTTTTGTATATTGTGTTATTTATTTGTGAATAATAAAGCTTATTATATTCATTTATTAGTGATTCAACTATTTACCTTTATCTTCTGCATTTCCTTTCTCAGTTTCTGTATGTTTATCTTCACCTCCATCTTTCGTGCTCTTAGCTTCTATTCCTCCTTTATTTCTATCTTCAGAGTTTTCCTTACCTGAAACATTTACATCATATATGAATATTTTTTATTTTCTATTAATTTATATAGTGTATTATTCACTTATGAATAAACAATGTTATTAAAAAAATCATTATAAATATTGTAATATATTTTAAATCATTCATTTACCTGTATCATCTCATTTTGTTTTTTCAACTTTTGTTCCTTGTTCATGTACACCTTCTGATTTTTCCTTTTCTGCAAGAGTATTACTTTTACCTGTACTCATTGGTGACGCTGGTCAAAATTTAATAAACAAAATTGTTATTGTGTATTATTATTTTTATATATTTTTTTTAAAATAAAAGTAAAACAAAATTTACCTATATCAATATTATCCAAAATAGTTTTCATTTCAGGGTCATTCCAGATTTCATTTTCTTAATTATTTAAACTTGAAATTCGAATTACAAGGACATTGTCCACAATGTTGTAAACAACTTTATCCAACAAATTTTTATTTTCAGTTGGTTGAATAGTCTCGTCATGATTATTTGTTTCTTCATTATCATCAGCTTTTTTCTCTTCATCATTGTCATTTTGATTATTCTTTCCATCTTTCTCTTTTACTTCAGTTTCACCTTCTTTTTGATTATTATCTCCATTATTCTTTATTCTTTCATTCTCTGCTTCATTTGATTCAAGCAAATAATCTTCTACTGGTTGACTTCCATCATTATCATTGTCTTCTTCACCATTTCTCTATTTATCTTCATTTTCTTTTTGATCATTTGTTTTTTGACCGATTATTGGTGTCAAATTGATTCCTTCAAATCCAGTTTGATTACTTGGAAATTCAAAAATAGTTGTGCCTTCAGTTTTTTCTTCATTAATTATATTTGTTGTATTTTCTTCGAAAATCCTAAAACTTTCCTTTTCAGGGAACTTTGTTATCGCACCATTGAGCTTTGAATTCAGCTTTTCCTTCATCCTCTCGAAACTATTAAGCATTTTAGATATTTTTGATTCATATGCCTATGTAATAAAAAGAAGTATGATTAGAATTTAATGTAATCATATATTATTAACATGTTCAAACTAATTATCTCAACAGAATGATCTTCATCTTTATTAGAATCACTATCTTCGAGATCTGTATCTCCTTCATCTTGTTCATTAACAAATTATTCGTTTAATTCTCCAAGTCCAAATCTACATTTTTCTTGTTCAAATGTCTCCCAATATCTAATCTTCTCTGAACTCCAATAACAAATTGTTGGACGTTTACGTGTTATTGTTAAAGCTTCTGAGTGGATGTTATCAGCATAGAACAACTGCACATAAATGATAATTAATTGATATTCATATATGAACAAGTAATATTGTTTTTTCACTTATTCATATATGAATAAGTAATGTAAGCATTACGTGTGAACAAATATATTTTTCTTATTCATATATGAATATTTGCTATTAGTTTATGAATAATCAATATTATTAAAAATTGAGTATAAAGATTATAATAACTTACCACTAAGAAAGTTGAAGGTCCAACAAAGAAGCTGGTATCTGAGTATGGTATGTATGAGTTTTTTGTTCTGACAAGACAATCCAAAACATAGCTGCACCAGTCTATGTTGCTGATATCTGTTTTTCTTGAAATATAACTCAAGGGAAACAGGCTGCATCTTCCCATTGATATTGACTCACAAAACGTGTTGACAAAAAGAATTAAGAAGTTTAATTTGAAATTGAAATCAGCTTGTGTGGTAGAAATAATAACTTTTTTGATTGCACTCAGTCGGATGATTGAATATTTTTTAAATTGTTGCTTCCATTCATCATAACTTGTATCATCCTTAGGCCATTGATCCAGTTGTGTAAGTTTGGTTCCACCAATTGGTATGCCCAACATGTCATGAACATACTCTATTGTTACTTTTAGTTCCTTTCCTTCAATATCTATCACCATTCTCTCAGAATCAAAATTTTGAAGAACATAAAATCCCAGCTTCAGTGGTATATCTATGATTTTCATTTTTAACAAACATCCAAAACCCATAAATCTTACAGATTCTTTTTGTTCTTTGCTCATCCCAAAGATTATAGATAGTAATGCCTCTGGTGAACATCTGTTTTTCATTGAGTAAAATTCTTTTACCATTGTTTTTTTTTATCTTTTCTGATTGGTGACTCCTTTTTTTTTTTTTTTTTTTGCCTTCTTCAATGAATGACTACTTTCAAAATCAGAGTCAGAATCTTGTAGTTGTTGTTTTCTGCTTTGATGCTTTATTTTCTTTGGTACTTTTGTTTCTTTTTTATCTGGGAAATGAGAACATATAATATTTGAATAAGTTACTGATATATAAATAGTATATATGCTCGTTGATTTATTAATATTTATTTATTACAAAAATATAACTAATATATACAATTTTATTCATAAATGAATATATTAGATATGATAGGAATTTTGTACCTTTCACATTTGTCCACTTGAAATCTGTTTCGATCATAGTTGTGGGGTCTTTATCAGAAATACAAATCTTCTTACCTTCATGAAAGAGTGAATAGAAGATAAATAATTTTGAAATACATTTTACAAAGAAAATATATTATATTCATAAATGAGTATAGAATATTCATTTATAAGATATGATATGTATTTTATACCTTTTTGATTTTTCTGCATTGATCTTGTTTCTCTCATTGTTGGTGAATCTTTATTGGAAATGTTAGTGTTCTTACTTTCATTTAATAGTAAGTAGAAGATAAATGAGTTTGATATTCACGAATGAATATTTGAATAAAACATATGTATTCATATTTTTTTATTCACATATGAATATGTTTTGTTATATTCATATGTGAACAGAATATATATATATATATATATATATATATATATATATATATATATATAAGTCATTCTTGTTGTATTCACATTTGAATAATGTATGTATGGTAGCAAGTTATGTTCTATTCATATATGAATATAACATACATATTCACGAATGAATATTTGAATAAAACATATGTATTCATATTTTTTTTATTCTCATATGAATATGTTTTGTTATATTCACATTTGAATAATGTATGTATGACAACAAGTTATGTTCTACTCATATGTGAATATAACATACATATTCACGAATGAATATTTGAATTAAACATATGTATTCATATTTTTTTATTTTCATATGAATATGTTTTGTTATATTCATATGTGAATAGAACATATATAAGTCATTCTTGTTGTATTCACATTTGAATAATGTATGTATGGCAACAAGTTATGTTCTATTCATATGTGAATATAAGATACATATTCACGAATGAATATTTGAATAAAACATATGTATTCATATTTTTTATTCTTATATGAATATGTTTTGTTATATTCATATGTTAATAGAACACATATAAGTCATTCTTGTTGTATTCACATTTGAATAATGTATGTATGGCAGCAAGTTATGTTCTATTCATATGTGAATATAAAATACATATTCACGAATGAATATTTGAATAAAACATATGTATTCATATTTTTTTATTCTCATATGAATATGTTTTGTTATATTCATACGTGCATAGAACATATATAAGTCATTCTTGTTATATCCACTTTTGAATAATGTATGTATGACAACAAGTTATGTTCTATTCATATGTGAATATAACATACATATTCACGAATGAATATTTGAATAAAACATATGTATTCATATTTTTTTATTACCATATAAATATGTTTTGTTATATTCATATTTGAATAATGTATGTATGACAACAAGTTATGTTCTATTCATATGTGAATATAACATACATATTCACGAATGAATATTTGAATAAAACATATGTATTCATATTTTTTTATTCTCATATGAATATGTTTTGTTATATTCATATGTGAATAGAACATATATAAGTTATTCTTGTTGTATTCACATTTGAATAATGTATGTATGACAACAAGTTATGTTCTATTTATATGTGAATATAACATACATATTCACGAATGAATATTTGAATAAAACATATGTATTCATATTTTTTTTATTCTCATATTAATATGTTTTGTTATATTCATATGTTAATAGAACATATATAAGTCATTCTTGTTGTATTCACATTTGAATAATGTATGTATGGCAGCAAGTTATGTTCTATTCATATGTGAATATAACATACATATTCACGAATGAATATTTGAATAAAACATATGTATTCATATTTTTTTATTCTCATATGAATATGTTTTGTTATACTCATACGTGAATAGAACATATCTAAGTCATTCTTGTTGTATCCACATTTGAATAATGTATGTATGACAACAAGTTATGTTCTATTCATATGTGAATATAACATACATATTCACGAATGAATATCTGAATAAAACATATGTATTCATATTTTTTTTTTACTATCATATGAATATGTTTTGTTATATTCATATTTGAATAATGTATGTATGACAACAAGTTATGTTATATTCATATGTGAATATAACATACATATTCACGAATGTATATTTGAATAAAACATATGTATTCATATTTTTTTATTCTCATATGAATATGTTTTGTTATATTCATATGTGAATAGAACATATATAAGTCATTCTTGTTGTATTCACATTTGGATAATGTATGTATGGTAGCAAGTTATGTTCTATTCATATATGAATTTAACATACATATTCACGAATGAATATTTGAATAAAACATATGTATTCATATTTTTTTTATTCTCATATGAATATCTTTTGTTATATTCATATGTGAATAGAACATATATAAGTCATTCTTATTGTATTCAGATTTGAATAATGTATGTATGACAACAAGTTATGTTCTATTCATATATGAATATAACATACATATTCACATTTGAACATTAGTTTTGCTTGTGTTCACAAGTAAACAAAACATATTTTATTTATCTTTTTGATTTGTTCTTGTTTTTCGTTTATATGTATTCTTCACTGTTGGTGTTGTTTCTATAAGGGTAAGTAGTTAATATTAGGAAAACATAAGCGCAATGTGAAGTAGTGTTTGTATTTTGACAGAATAGTTTTGAATAAAGATGAAAAATGAATAGATGATGTAAAATCATTTATATATCAACTAATAATGGATGATTCTTACAAAAATTTCAAGTAAATAAAGTAATAACGAATGAGGGTTACGAGAATTAACAAGTATCATAAAAAATTGAAGCAAACAACAATTTTTGAAGAATGAACAATGTGAAAACAATGTTTTTAGTTCTCAATCAACTAATAATTATTGAAGATTAGGAGAAATTTCAAGTAATCAAGTGATAATTTTAGAAATGATTCGAAATCGTTAGAAACTCGAGAAAAAACGCCGATGATTACCTTTCATTGTCAAGAGTGAGGAAATGGTCTCGTTCATGTTTTCATTGGAATACATTTTTCTTCGGTTATGTTATTTGATGTTTCTACAAATAGTTTTCTTCTTATCGATCCTTCTGCAAATAGTTTTCGTGTTATGGTGTATCGAAGAGGGAAATAGTGTTTTTCTGTCAAGATTTGATGTGTTATCAAATTACTCAAGTGCCCTGACGGTTTAATGTTTTTGGATTATTTACAAATTTGCCACCGTTCATTAATGTATTTGGATTATTTACAAGTTTGTCACCGTACGTTTTTTAAGCTTATTAAATAATTGGCTGAGAATGGTTTCCCCATTCTCAACTTTTTTTTTCTTAATTGAGTCCCTCTCTCTCTCTCTCTCTCTCTCTCTCTATATATATATATATATATATATATATATATATATATATATATATATAAAGCAAAAGGTTTTTATTTATTTATTTATTTTTTTAAGAAAACATTACACAACCTTAATTACACTCAATAAACCGCCCAAAGCAATAAGGTAATTTGAAGGAATACGATGGCCACGGTCCACGACTCATTCATGATTTTGTGATTGAGAATTAAGATAGCATGATGGGCTCGCTCTGTTCTTTTAGATAAATGGGCTTCGCCTGTTATCATGAAAAGTCTATTTGAAATAAATTAATAGTCCACACAATTATTTAATTTAGGATTAATCATAAAATTGTTTCAAAATAGAAGATATATATATATATATATATATATATATATATATATATATATATATATATATATATATATATATATATTTTTGCGTTGATTGCCTTCTTAATAAATAAAAAAAATGGTTATGTTAAAATTGCGTATAATATACGGTTGACAATTTAAATATAAAAATATAATATAATAGGCGATTAGATATAAATATAAACCATAAAATTAAAATTTATTTATATAAATAATATATAATATTCTTTTTCTTTTATGTTTTCATTGTTAAATATATAAGCACGTTATGTCAACCACGTTATGTCAATAATAATACACAAAACAGTATAATTAGGTTACGGAAATCTCTTATGTATATTATATTCAATGAGTAAAATGTGGAACTAAAAGTCAATATTAATACAAGCAGTTGGTTCAAGGAAATAATTAGGGATCAGCATATGACTTGTTGGATCCGATCAGAAGGAAAAAAATAATAATAATAATAATAGGATCGGACCCGGATTAGAGTAGTTATTCATATTAATCGGCAGGTTTTTGAGTTCTATTTTTACCAATAATCAGGTTTTGAGTTTTAAAGAAGTTGTATCGGAAATACAGGATTTAACCTGGGTCAGAAAAGCATTTTCACATTAATTTCTTTTATAGATATCAACATAAGTTTAAAATATATAGATTGTTGATGTATATTGTAAAAGTCGAATAGAATGTTTTGTATAGTTTCGCATTTTATGTTATTTTACTAAGTCATTTTTATGCGAAGATAAAATGTATAGACTTAGTATACTTTTTGACGTTTCCCTATAAATAGGGACTTAGGCTAGAAGTTGTAGTACGAATGCTTGAACTCACTTCTGCTTAACTCTGTAATCAGACTTTATCAATATAAGATCTGATTAATATTTACTCTCTGTGTTCTTCATCTTAATTCATACAAATCTATCATTTCTGTTATAAATTCTCGATAACAATTCTCATCAATTGGTATCAGAGCAGGATTCAAACTGCTTAGATCTGATTTTCGTATAAGAATCATT